GAGAGTCAGTAAGATCAACATCAAGAATGATGGGGTTGAAACTCATTGATTAAAAGTTCACCAATGATGGCAACCCTACCCAACTATACTAAACATGTATATCTAGGTTCAAAGGCTAATAACAAGTCATTTGATAAATGGATAAGTTTCAACACTATTAACCTATTATAAACTCTATCATTAATAAATAGTGATTGTTACGATTAGAGAGATGAATTTATAAAACTCTTAATGAGGTTTAGTATTAAGTACAAATATCTCTTAAAGTAACAAAGATGCTGGAAGAACTTTACCAATGTGAACTTCGAGGTGGTGCCTGCTCAATAGAAAGTTAGAGTTTTTTCTCTTAAAAGTTCAATGAATAGGATAAGTGCAAGGCAATAAGGGTACTAATCGAGTTTGAAGAACTTGTGAAAACATAATACTCGTGTGTGTGATTTCATCGGCATTGTCACACGGAATAACTAGTTGAAAACTATCGTGCTACCTAGAATTTCAATAATACTTTGTGAGATTTACACTATGGTTAGATTCAAATCGAAAAGATATCTAATCCTTATGCATTAGTATTTCCATGTATGAATATGTGGAAATTTTGAACAAGTGGGGGATTGTTATATAATTATGCATTAGGTTGAAATGTAAATGAATTAATGATAAAAATTGGAAGGCAAAATTGGGTGGTTTCTGCTTAACCATGCGTATGCATATGCTAAACGGGCATGAGTACACACGACCTTGTCTGTAGAAAACTGCGGTTCAAAAATTTAGTCGTTGGCCTGTTTTTTCATTTGAATTTCTGGTGAGTTTTGGTGGAAAATTCTCAACTTTCCATGAGTGTCTGGAATCTTTTCGTGATATAATATTAGAAATCTATAAATAGGTGATAGATTTCCAATTCCAAACATAAGAAAATAGCATAAGATTTTATCATTCATTTCTATACTTGAATTTTCCTCATTCTAATACATATTCAAACATTTTTCAAGTTTTCAACAAGTTCAACTAGTCATCTTGCTTTTATGCTTCTTCCTTAAAGGTTTGTAAATCCTCTAAACTATTTGTCGGAAATCCTAAAATCTCCTTCTTCTCCTCTTCAATATTTTCAACATCTTATTCAATTTTATCATTCAATGATAATCTGGGTATCATGTTAAATTTTTGCAACTAGTTCTGCTGATCACCTAAAAACTATGGGCAGGTTGCGAGCATTTCTGAGGACATTGGAAAAGAGTACTAACATCTAACTCTACAAAGCCCGGAAAAGAAAGACTCCTTCATTCGTTAGAAAGTAAGAATATCAGAGCTATCCCATTCGAGACAGGGAAAAAAATGACGTTGAAGAGAAGAAGCGTGGAATTTGAAAAAAAAAAATTAGGGAAAAACTTGCCACATGGGAGGAGTTGCTAGCGAAAGAAAGCATACTTCTGTGGATGGCTTAGATGTTTAACCCTTCAAATAGACTAATGCTTTTGATAAAATCAAGGAATGATATGAGATTTGAAGCTGAAAATAAAGGAACTAAAACTAATAGAGACCGAGGACAGAAATCGGGAGATAAGCCTGCTGAATAACAGGGAAGAAGATTAACTTTCATTCAATCTTGCTTAAGGAAATTACAAGGTAATCTATTCTATTTATAGAGAAAATACCTAACCAATTATCTAACAAACTAACAAGATAACAAACTAAGGAAGTATCTAGAATAAGCTAGAATCTGTAAACTGGAAGTAGAGACTGGAACGTGCTAATGTTGCATGGTTTGCTGGTGACTGGTTTGCTGGTAAACGTCTGGTGAACTGGAGAGATGGTACGTGCTGATGCTGTGAACTGGAGGCTGGTCTGCTGATGAACTGGAGGCTGGTTTATATTCCAACACTCCTCCCTCATCTCTTTTGAGAAGGAATATCTTCAAAATCTTCCTTCAAATTCTTCATCACATACACTATGTCTGCCTTTGATCAGCACCTATTTCTCATTACAAATACTTTGTCCGGTTTCAATTTCGTTTTGATTCCCTATCTGGGAAGAAATAAACCATTTTGTGAAGATCTGATCTATTTTCAATTTCATTTCAGTTTTGTATTGACTCCCTATCTGGGAATGAATAATTCATTTTGTGAAAATCTGAGAAGCCTTCTATCTTCAATTTCTGGCTTCAGTTTAGTTTTCTGATTCCCTTTGATCGAGAATTTGATCGGGAATTTTCAGTCATGTTTGTTCCGACATTTCATCGAGCATTTAGTGAGCCAAGTCACTTTCCTGTTTTCTGGTAATTCTGTGTTGCTGATTTTGGGGGATTTTTTTTTTTTTTTATATAGATTCAATTTAGAAAAAAAAAGAGAAGAAGGTGAATTTCAGACGGCAGGATTAGAAACATGCTCTGATACCATGATAAAATCAAGGAATGATATGAGATTTGAAGCTGAAAATAAAGGAACTAAAACTAACAAAGACCGAGGACAAAAATCGGGAGATAAGGCTGCTGAATAATAGGGAAGAAGATTAACTTTCATTCAATCTTGCTTAAGGAAATTACAAGGTAATCTATTCTATTTATAGAGAAAATAGCTAACCAATTATCTAACAAACTAACAAGATAACAAACTAAGGAAGTATCTAGAATAAGCTAGAACCTGTAAGCTGGAAGCAGAGACTGGAACGTGCTGATGTTGCATGGTTTGTTGGTGACTGGTTTGCTGGTAAACGTTTGGTGAACTGGAGAGATGGTACGTGCTGATGCTATGAACTGGAGGCTGGTTTATATTCCAACAGCTTTAATTTCCATCAACAAGTACATTGCCTTTCATAAACTGTCATTAGTACACTTGAATAAATTATATGATATTAGTTTCCTAGAAATAAATGCATAGTGGCCAATGATTGCAGTGGAGGTTTCATCTGCTGTGTCGCATATTTTTGCCAGTCCAGGACGTAATTCTGAGACTTCTCTGCAGTGGCATTTGATAGTTCTTTCTCTGCAAATGGTTATTTTTCAGAGAAAATATAGAGGAGAAAAGATGAAAAATGTTTTAAGATGAGAATAGCCTTTACTTGATGAAAAAGTTGGATGAAAATGATGTTTTGCTTAATCAAAAGGATAATTAGAGGTGAAAATATAAAAAAAAAAGTATGAACGTCTTGCACAATAATAGTGAAATGTAAAGATGTTATGTGTTAATTACTTATTTTTAAAAGTCATGGCATATTCAATTAAATTTTTTGAAGTATCTACAAGGCAATGATGTATTCAAAATGTCCATGACTTTTAAAGAATTTTATAAAAGTATTCGGGATACTAACTTATAAGCAGAAAATATAAAAATAAAATTTCAAAATTTGTCTCACATTCAACCCAAGATTTTGGAAGAATTTTTGCTTCCAATATTTTTGTTTTCTCTTTCGTACCTTCTAACTATTATATTTATTTCTATTTTCATTTTCTTTCTCTTATTGTTTCTCTTAATTTTCTATGAAATAATTAAATTGTAATTAAAACATTCTTAATGAAAAAGATCAATCTATAATTAAATTTTATATGATTTAATATATATAAAAAAAGACTAATGTATAATTAAACTTTAAATATATTGCTTGGCTGTCTACCTTTGAAATGTATTGCTTATTGATAATTAAGAAAATTAATCTTTTTTTTATTTTTTATCGAAGAATATTGGAATTTATATATATTTCTTGCGTATCGATTATTTATTTAATTAATTAAGGTGACTTAAAATTTGTAATATTTTAAAAATAATTTTTATTACATCAGAAAGAGAAAAGGGATGGTGGGAATCGAGCCTACACCTCCTAATGTGAGAACTTTCCATAGTTGCACTCTATTGAATACTCACGTTAACAATATTTTAGATGAAAGTTTTCAAAAATCTTTAATTTTTTAAAAAAGTTTAGAAGTTTTAAATGAAAGTTTCTAGAAAAGATTTACATTAAGTTTTTGTTTGACAATCATTATTTTAAAATAATAATATTTTGAATAGTTGTTTTTAGGAGATTGTGTGGTTGAAAAATAGAAAAAAAATTTGAATTTGCTTACAAAATATTTTATTGTGTGAATATGTAGTTGAAAATGAGACCTTCTTTGATCTTTATTTTTTTCAAAATACATTTTTTTCTCTCTTCTCTTTGACGTTGTCATCCCATTTTCTATTTTCAATTTTTTAAAACAGTAAAAACACATTTACTTACCTATTTTCAAAAACGAGTTTAAAATTTACAAAGATAGTCTTGTGTGTTTTCAATTAAAATCAAGACAATTTTCAAAACGTATTTTGGTTGTTTCAGTTACGCCACCAATAAAAACCACCGCCATCGCCGCCGCACTACACCATCGCTACCCAAAATCACCACCACCGCCACAACCACAACAATAGAAGAAACCGACGACGTCACAACCCAATTACCCAACCATAATAGAAGAAGAACAACAGAAGAAGCCGACGATACCGTATCCAACCACCGCACACCACCATCGCACCCAAACCAACCACCACATTAAAAAAAGAGAGAGAGAGAGAGAGAGAGAGAGAGAGACGAAGAAGCTGACGATAGCTCTTCACAACAGCTCCGTCGTGGTTTACGGCGCCAACGGCCTTGCGAGGGATACGACAGAGAGAGAAACGACAGAGAGAAGGGAAAGCAGAGAGAGACGAGGGAGGGGGGAGAACAAGTTTTTCAATTTTTTATTTTTGAAAATAATTTTTTAAAATGACAAAAAGAACACATTTTCAATAATCTCAAAATGAATATTCAAAACACAAAACTCAAAATGAATTCAAAAATCAAAACGAAAAATTGAAACACGAAGAGAACATCCCCGTTGATTTTTATTTCATTTTCATCTTTGGTAACAAAAAATAATTGGAAATACCGAAATACCAATAATTTTCCCCTCCGACAATTGAGAAATAAATAACGAAGCTTAAGCCGACGATACTTAGGGTTTAATGTGAACCTCGCTCTGAAGAACTCGAGACTCATCAATGGCTGATCAAAGTATCCAGCACCAAGTACAAGACAATAAAAATGAAACAGAAGGAGAACAAGACTATGGCATTTTATTGTACTACAAGTACACCAAAATTCCCAACCTTCAAAACCTCTCCGATTTCTATCACTCCAATTGCAGCTCTCTCTCCCTCCTAGGCCGCGTCCGCCTTTCCTCTCACGGCGTTAATGCTACAGTAAGTTTAGTTCTTATTTCATTATAAGTTTTTATCTGAGTGATGTTGCGCTCTGTTTTTGTTTTTACTTTGATAGTCTTTTTTGTCTATGTAATGGTGGTTTTTTTTTTTCCCTATTTGGAGAAATGGGGCTTCAAGTTCTTACTCTACAGCGGGGGATTCTATCGATAGCAAGAAAAAAGTAGCAATATGAAGATTGTTGCCTCTTTGTTTTTGTTTTTGTTTTTAATTTGAAAAATGTCTTCTTCCTTTTTGTGTGTGTGTGTGTATGCAAATTATTATCTTTTTCTATTTAGGGAATGGGGCTTCAAGTTCTTATTTGTCAGGGATGGAGCACTCCCTTGATGATAAGTTAATATAACGATGAGCTATTATGAGCGTCTTATTTGGGTATGAATCATGAGTTTATTGTTGATACGGGTTTCCACTTTTGGTGTTCAGGTTGGTGGGAAATTGAAGGCATTGAAGAAGCACATTGAGGCACTGGAGTCCAATTCATTGTTTGAAGGGACAGATTTCAAGCTCGCAGCATGCCATGAGCCGTTGAATGATCAAGTTGCTAAGGAATGTGGATTTACTTCTCTCTCTATCCGGATTGTAAAGGTTATATGAGTTTTAATACAGTTATTTGTTTTTATATGTTGGAATTTGTATATAGCTATGTGTGAAAATCACTGAAAAGAAGTTCAACTTAAACATTTCCAGAAACTGGCGTGGAACATTATTTGCTCATCAGAAATGGATTTAGTTACTGCTTAATTTGTGAATTTATCGTAAGAAAGTTTTAATCGTTGGTCCTCATTTATTGTATGAGAATCCATTTTTCAAACTAGCTTGCTGGATTTTTTTGCTAACATTATATATTCGAGCTTATCTTACATTGTATTTGGTTTTCTACTTTATGGTTCGTCATTTTCTTCCTCATTTTTTTAGCTGAAACTGGATTTTCTCCTCGTGCGTAGGAATTGGTATCTTTAAGTTCTCACCCACTTTTGAAGTCTCCAGACATTTCAAATGCTGGAACGCATCTAAGTGCAGCTGATTTCCACTCCGTGCTTCAGAATGCTGGTAGTTTTTCTTCTCGTCTCATCAGACTCTCTTTTCTTTTACTCTGTTCTGTTCCTGTACTTTTTGGAATAATACATTTTTTGGCTGGGTGGGTGTGGGTCAACTCAATCCAAGTATGCCAAGGAGAATGGAAGGGTACATTGACCAACCTTTCTTTTACATGACAGAGCTTTGATTTTATCATATTGGATTTCGTCTGTGATATTTGATGCTTGACGTTAAGGATAGAAAATACAGAAGTTATTTTGGACAAATTTTAATTTTAGATTTTTTTCCAGGAAACTTTCAAGAAAAAGAGAGTTTTGGTTCTGATAAAAAACTAGTACTGGTAGATGCAAGGAATTTGTACGAGACAAGAATCGGAAAATTCCACACTCCAAATGTGGAAACATTGGATCCAGAAATCAGGCAGTATAGTGATCTGCCCTCTTGGATAGATGGCAACTCTGAGCGATTGCGAGGAAATAATATCCTCATGTGAGTCCTCTGAAACCAGGATAATGAAACTTTTGATGTTTGTACTTCCCTCACCTTAATCTAAATTTCTTGCACTATTAAACTTCAATTTCTTGTCCATATCTTACTTTTAATGGATAACAATGGTTACTCATATCTGTTGTGCATTTTGTTGGTTTCTTGAGCTGGTGGTATCTTGGAATCTTATTTTTACAGCTCTGTTAGATACATTCTTGTATTTTCTGCCCGTGGTGGCATTACTGTAACTTTTACTGTGTTTCACGTAATCTGTTATCCTCCCTTTCCTTTTTAAAATTTCCTATGGTATTCTATCGTGTTTTCCCTCAATACTTTATCCTCATCAAGAAAATTAGTGAAGGCTTAAGTGGCTTCCAGAAAATACAATTGAAAGACTTACCAATCACATGATGCACTTACTTTGTTTGTTTGCCGGTGCAGGTACTGTACTGGAGGAATTAGATGTGAGATGGCATCAGCCTATATCAGGTCCAAAGGAGCAGGTTTTGAAAATGTGTTTCAGGTGAGCTATTTTGAGAATTGGGCTATGGCTGTATTCAGTGTTCTATATATGTAATTACTATTGTATTATGTGAAGTCAACGAAGAAGCAATCAGTTTGCACTTGAGATGAATTGATGCTGATAACTGTTCTTCCATAATGACTAAGCTCTGGGTTTTCTTGTTCTTTTCTTATAATGGCCATGTTTGTTTCGGATTAAAATCAAATTTTAATTGAAGTTTTTTTTTTTTTTTGATAACCGTGGATGTCCGGACCAGTTGCGCCCACCTCGACTAATTCCACTGGACCCTGAAGTTTACAGCCGAGTACTCACCCCAGTGGCCCTGAGAAGACTCGAACTGATGACCATTGGGTAGGAGACTCGAACTGATGACCATTGGGGAGTAAACCCAATGCCTGGCCAATTGAGCAACCCCGGTTAAATTTTAATTTAAGTAAAAGTCAAACAATCAATATTAACCACATATTTCATAGTCCCACAGCTTTTCAACCACACATTTCAAAAACTTCTATCACAATCTACTAAAAATTTAATTTTAATCTCCACCAAACACCTATAATATATTTCCTTTTGAAAATTACTTGTGCACGACTTGACATGAAGAGAGAGAATATTAAGCAAAACATTTAGTTTCCATATATCGTAAGTGCAAGAGGAATGTTTGGCTTACAATCTGCTAAATGCTGATAGTTTGATTTCGAAGAGATGTATCCACATTACCATCATATAAAATCTGTGATGCTTTTAAGAAAGGCAATTTCTGGATTCGTTATCCATTGGCACCTTAAGTTTCTATTTCTGATTACAGTTTCCCTGGCTGTACTTATCTTTCAATATTACAAAAGTCTGCTATCCTTTTGCGCCTTGCCACCTTCTCCTCCCTGAATGGAGATGATAGGCAGTCCTCTCTTTGTGAACATGTTTTTTGATCAGACATCTTTAGGAACATTTATTGTCGTTCATGCAATTTTAAGTTGTTTTCATGCCTGAACTTACCCGTTTGAAGTGTTCTTTTTGTGCTGCTTCTGCCAATTAATTCAAAGGCGCACATTCTAGAAACAAAAGTTTACAACAATAAACTAGAAACTCAATTAACCACAAAAAATATGATGACACTTATTTTTCTTAAGTAACCATGCAGGTGACATAGTCAAAGTTTAAGTCAACAAATTTTTGACAGTATTGTTTCAAGATCAAAAGACAGTCACTTTAAGAGTAATATTTTGTTGTTAAGCCTTCGGGTGGTTGACTTGTCTAATAAGATTTTGATTGTATTTAAACTGGAATGGAATGAGATGGAAACTATGAAACTAGTTCTGGTACTATATTTTGTTTGTGCCCGTTGTTAAGTTTCTTCCCTGTTTTTGATTAAGTATATGTAATTCTTTAGTCAAACAGGTAAGGAGTAAAGAGCTGTTCTAGTTAATTATGCTCATACTTCTTGCACGTGTTGATTTCTTTCAGTTATTTGGTGGGATACAGAGATATTTGGAACAATTTCCAGATGGTGGCTTTTTCAAAGGAAAGAATTTTGTTTTTGACCATCGGTACGTTTTGGCACTTACCTGCTTCGCCGTGTACGGATCAATTTTCTTGTCTATATTCCTCATTTGGATCTATTTCCACATAGTTCATTTTTCGTTACTGTAATTTCATAAAGAAAACACCAATTTTCTACATCTGTATCCGAAGCTTTGATTAAATTCATTTTTCGATACTAACTTTCCCGAGTCCCTATTGTTCTGACCACTAAGGTTAGTATGAATGTGCAGTTTAGATATTAGTCTCTTGCTTTAGCAAATAAATTATTTGCGAAGAATTTAGCTTTGATGATCTTTAGACTTGTTATTCTAGGGTTTCAGTTGGGAGCTTAGATACAGATACATTGGGAACTTGCCTTCTGTGTAGCACTTCATTTGATGATTACTCTGCACGCAGCCGGTGCAGTTACTGTAGGATGCTCGTGTTAATCTGTGACAGTTGCCGAGTATGTGCTTCTCAAGACCACTTGTTAGTAAATGCAAAAAATCCTCACGAGATTGAAATTTTTAGTAAGCCTAAATTTGTTATAACTTTTCTTCTTAGGAACAAGAATCTTCGTATGTTTGTGAACTGTGTCAGAAAAATGGCAAGCTAGTTGCATCTATTTCCACAACTGAAGATGGTATGTCAGGAGACGTATTATCACCAGTAGCAATCGAAGCTAATCCTAACTTGGATCAAATCAGGCACTCACCTTCCATGTCTTGCAGGAATGGTAAGGTCTGTATTCTTTAACTAGTATGGCGTCATATATATAATGTAACTGCTGGTTCAGAGGACACTTTCTCCAAATTATCATATGCAACTTGACCAAGAAAAGGTCGTGTGAGATTTAAAGCATGTTTTGCTATGCTTAAAACATTTACTTACAAGTAAATAAGTAAAATAACTAGTAAATTTCAAAATGAATAATTTGTATAAACGGTCAAAGTTGGAAATAATTAAAGTTACTTATTTTGAAGTAAGGCAAGAGTTACCAGTCAAGTTACTTGTTTTTCTTGAAAGTGTGGAAGAGGCAACTTATCTGAACATGTTTGAAAACCAAAATATGTAAACGAATTCTATTCTTTGTTAAGCATGAACAAACTTGCTGTTAGTCAGTTTTCTTGTTCACTTTCTCCTTTTGGCTTCAACTGCTGTATGTCTAGAAGATTTAATTAAAAAAAAATAGAAATTTTCTGGTGTTGCACAGACCAACATGTTGCAAGTACTAAGCCAATGAGAAAGCTGCGGATTTTATGCTTGCATGGCTTCCGGCAGAATGCTTCCAGTTTCAAAGGAAGAACAGCATCATTGGCAAAGAAACTCAAAAACATTGCCGAGCTCGTTTTTGTTGATGCACCGCATGAATTACCTTTCATTTACCAACATTCTCCGCCTGATCAAAATTGTGAATCAGTTCGATCAGAGGGAAGTCCACCTTTCATTAATTGCAACAGAAAGTTTGCTTGGCTGGTTGCAGCTGATTATAATGGAAAGAGTGATGCTGAATGGAAGATGGCAAAAGTTCCATTTGACACTTTGCAATATCAGAAGCAAACTGAGGGCTTCGACCAATCGCTTCAATATCTAAAGACTATATTTTTGCAAGCAGGGCCATTTGATGGGATACTGGGATTCTCACAAGGGGCTGCAATGGCTGCTTTAGTTTGTGCAAAACAAGGGAAGCTAAAGGGTGAGATTGACTTCAAATTTGTGATTTTATGCTCTGGATTTGCTGTTAATATGTCAGAGTACTCCGAGGGATCAATCGATTGCCCCTCGCTTCATATTTTTGGCAACAACGAGGGTAATGATAGACAGATAGAAAGCCTGGCCAGCAGACACCTCGCGTCCTTCTTTAAATGTGGCTGCTCGGACCGCTCGGTGATTATTGAACACGACCTTGGTCATATAATCCCCACACGATCTCCACATATCGATAAGATGAAAGATTTTCTTCGACAATTTCTCCAGTTCAACTCTTGATTTATTGAATTGAGGGTTGCAAAGAAGATCCCCATTGGGGCCTTAATTTACTGACCTTTGAAATGAATTGATAGGTATTTGTATCAAATTTGTTTTGGTTTCATTCCGATGTTTTTGTTCAACTTTCACTAAACTCTCATTGTAATGCTTATTCTTACTGTCTTGTATCCTCCCCTCCCTCTAAATTTAGTTCTTTAACAGTACTTGGCGGTTTGGATCAGTTGGGAACTTTTTACTCCTGTTTGGTATTAATTAAAATTTTAATTTTAATTTTAATTTAAGTTAAAGTCAACAATTAATTTTAATCACATATTTTATATGATTCACAATTTTTAAGAACGCATATTATCAACTTTTATCAAATTTTACAAAAAAATTGATTTTAGTCTTCACCAAATTGAGGTTTTATTTGGACAGAAAATAAGTTACATTGTTAATTTGAGTACAAAAAGAAATTTAGCTGTATGGGCTCCATTAAAATGTGGTTTTGGAAACAAAAAAAATTGTATATTGGAATAATAATTTTTGAAAAAATGTGTGGTTAAAAATTAAAGAAATTTTTTGAATTTATGTGTAATATTATTTTATTAAAAAATGTGGTTGAAAAATGAGTTTTGATAAAAAAAACAAAAAATGCTATTTTTGATTTAATGGAGTCCAAACGGGAGCTTAGGGACCGTTCTCTTTGTGTTTCAGTTTTGAGTTTTGAATTTATTTTGTGTTTTGAAATTTCTGAAAATGCGTTCTTTTTGTCATTCTGAAAAACTGTTTTGAGAAATATGAAAATGAAAAACGCGTTTACTTTGAAATTTTAAGAATATTTTTTTAATAATATTTTATTCAAGAAATATGATTATTCAATAAATTTTAATAGTTTAATTTTAATATAATATTAAATAACATATAAAATTTGAAGTTGGTGAATTTTGAAGTATTTGTTTCCAGATATAAAAAACACATTAAATTAAATTTGACAAATCCTTATTTTTGTCCTTG